GCTGGAGTAGCTCAGTTGGTTAGAGCGTGTGGCTGTTAACCACAAGGTCGCGAAAGGTTCAAGTCCTTCCTCTAGCGACTAGCGACATTTCAATTCACAAGTCTCATACTACTAGTTCCGCTGCAACACACAGGCAGAACTTGAAGTCTAGCTTGTTTGGAAGGCTCACAAATTAGAAATTTTATGTAAAAGAAGTTTTTTTTTTAATAGATAATTTTACTTTTTTAGTTATACAACTGTCTTGATATTATAAGAGAGAAAAAAATTCAAATTACACGTCACAACGATTTAAAGTTTGTAAACAAGGTCAGAAATTTAAACTCTTCAAAATTTACTTCCATAAGATTGTATATATCATCAATTGAAACTAGTGACTAAACTTATTATAATTAAAAATATACACTTCAAATTTTTATTGATGTTGTAAAACTTACCACATTATATTATGTGTATAAGGCTAAGGTTGGGTTGTGTATGGTAAGCCTCAAATAAAGATATGTGGCTATTGAGATTGGTTGATTGTGCCAACTACCATTTCGTGTAATGACATCCTAGTTACCCGCGGTGGGGCTTAGATTTTTTGTTTGAAAATGTTTGAGAAAGTATATAACATATACTACCTTGTAAATCATCATGGGGATTTAAAAAAAAAAAATAAAAGAATAATGGTCCTTTTAGTTCTGACTTTAATTAAATATATGTGATCTTAGGGCCGCAATTAGGTTTCATTATTTCTTTTTAAAAAATAATATATTTTTTAATGTTTGTTGGAGTAGTTCAGTTGGTTAGAGCGTGTGGTTGTCAACCACAAGGTCAAAGGTTCAAGTCTTTCCTCTAGCGATCAGCGACATTTGAACTTAGTTCCACTGCAACAACACTCAGGCAGAAACTTTGAGTCTAGGTTAGATTTTTTTTTATAGATAATTTTACTTTTTAAGTTATATAACTGTCTTGATAACTTTACTTTTTTAGTTATATAACTGTCTTGATATTATAAGATAGATAAAAAATTAAAATTACACGTCACAACGATTTAAAGTTTGTTAACAAGGTCAGAAATTTGAACTCTTCAAAATTTACTTCCATAAGTATGTATATATCATCAATTGAAACTAGTGACTAAACTTATTATAATTATAAATATGCACTTCAAATTTTTATTGATGTTGTAAAACTTACCACATTATATTATGTGTATATGGCTAAGGTTGGGTTGTGTATGGTGAGCCTCAAATAAAGAAATGTGGCTATTGAGATTGGTTGATTGTGCCAACTACCATTTAGTGTAATGACGTCCCAGTTACCCGCGGTGGGGCCTTAGATTTTTTGTTTGAAAATGTTTGAGAAAGTATAGAACATATACTACCTTGTAAATCATCATGGCATTTAAAAAAAAAAAGAATAATGTTCCATTTTAGTTCTGACATTAATTAAATACATGTGATCTTAGGGCCGCATTAAGGTTTCATTATTTCCTTTTAAAAAATAATATATTTTTTAATGTTTGCTAGAGTAGCTCAGTTGGTTAGAGCGTGTGGCTGTTAACTACAAGGTTAACAGTTCAAGTCCTTCCTCTAGTAACATTAACGGTTCAAGTCCTTCCTCTAGTGACATTTGAATTCACAAGTCTCATACTACTAGTTCCGCTGCAACACACGGGCAGAAACTTAAAGTCAAGCTTGTGAAGTTTTTTTTTATAGATAATTTTACTTTTTTAGTTATATAACTGTCTTGATATTATAATAGAAAAAAATTCAAATTACACGTCACAACGATTTAAAGTTTGTAAACAAGGTCAGAAATTTAAACTCTTCAAAATTTACTTCTATAAGTATGTATATATCATCAATTGAATCTAGTGACTAAACTTATTATAATTATACAACACACGGGCAAAAACTTGAAGTCAAGCTTGTGAAGTTTTTTTTTATAGATAATTTTACTTTTTTAGTTATATAACTGTCTTGATATTATAAGAGAAAAAAATTCAAATTACACGTCACAACGATTTAAAGTTTGTAAACAAGGTCAGAAATTTAAACTCTTCAAAATTTACTTCCATAAGTATGTATATATCATCAATTGAATCTAGTGACGAAACTGATTATAATTATAAGTATACACTTCAAATTTTATTGATGTTGTAAAACTTACCACATTATATTATGTGTATAAGGCTAAGGTTGGGTTGTGTATGGTGAGCCTCAAATATAGATATGTGGCTATTGAGATTGGTTGATTGTGACAACTACCATTTAGTGTAATGACATCCCAGTTACCCGCGGTTGGGGCTTAGATTTTTTGTTTGAAAATGTTTGATGAAGTATAGAACATATACTACCTTGTAAATCATGATGGGCATTTAAAAAGAAAAAAGAATAATGGTCCATTTTAGTTCTGACTTAAATTAAATAAATGTGATCTTAGGGCCGCAATTAGGTTTCATTATTTCTTTTTAAAAAATAATATATTTTTTAATGTTTGCTGGAGTAGCTCAGTTGGTTAGAGTGTGTAGCTGTTAACCACAAGGTCGCGGAAGGTTCAAGTCCTTCCTCTAGCGACTAGCGACATTTCAATTCACAAGTCTCATACTACTAGTTCCGCTGCAACACACGGGCAGAACTTGAAGTCTAGCTTGTTTGGAAGGCTCACAAATTAGAAATTTTCTGTAAAAAAAGTTTTTTTTTTTATACATAATTTTACTTTTTTAGTTATATAACTGTCTTGATATTATAAGAGAGAAAAAAAATTCAAATTACACGTCACAACGATTTAAAGTTTGTAAACAAGGTCAGAAATTTAAACTCTTCAAAATTTACTTCCATAAGTATGTATATATCATCAATTGAAACTAGTGACTAAACTTATTATAATTATAAATATACACTTCAACTTTTTATTGATGTTGTAAAACTTACCACATTATATTATGTGTATAAGGCTAAGGTTGGGTTGTGTATGGTAATCCTCAAATAAAGATATGTGGCTATTGAGATTGGTTGATTGTGCCAACTACCATTTAGTGTAATGACATCCTAGTTACCCGCGGTGGGGGCTTAGATTTTTTTTTTGAAAATGTTTGAGAAAGTAAAGAACATATACTACCTTGTAAATTATCATGGGCTTTAAGAAAAAAAAAAAAAGAATAATGGTCAATTTTTGTTCCGGCTTTAATTAAATATGTAATCTTAATTAGTGCCGCAATTAGGTTTCATTATTTCTTTTTAAAAAAAAATAAATTTATTAATGTTTACTGGAGTAGCTCATTTGGTTTGAGCGTGTGGCTGTTAAACACAAGGTCGACAGTTCAAGTCTTTCCTCTAGCGACTAGCGACATTTGAACTCACAAGTATCATACAAATAGTTCCACTACAACAACTAACACTCTACAAGTATCATACTAATAGTTCCACTGCAACAACTAACACTCGGGTAGAAATTAAACTTGAAGTCTAGCTTGTTGGAAGGCTCACAAATTAGAAATTTAATGTCATAGAAGTTTTTTTTTTTTATAAATAATTTTACTTTTTTAGTTATATAACTGTCTTGATATTATAAGAGAGAGAAAAAAAAATTCAAATTACTCGTCATAACGATTTAAAGTTTGTAAACAATGTCAGAAATTTAAGCTCTTCAAAATTTACTTCTATAAGTATGTATATATCATCAATTGAAACTAGTGACTAAACTTATTATAATTATAAATATACACTTCAAATTTTTATTGATGTTTTAAAACTTACCACGTTATATTATGTGTATAAGGCTAAGGTTGGGTTGTGTATGGTGAGCCTCAAATAAAGATATGTAGCTATTGAGATTGGTTGATTGTGCCAACTACCATTTCGTGTAATGACATCCTAGTTACCCGCGGTGGGGGCTTAAATTTTTTGTTTGAAAATGTTTGAGAAAGTATATAACATATACTACCTTGTAAATCATCATGGGCATTTAAAAAAAAAAGAATAATGGTCCATTTTAGTTCTGACTTTAATTAAATATTTGTGATCTTAGGGCCGCAATTAGGTTTCATTATTTCTTTTTAAAAATTAATATATTTTTTAATGTTTGCTGGAGTAGTTCAGTTGGTTAGAGCGTGTGGTTGTTCACCACAAGGTCGAAGATTCAAGTCTTTCCTTTAGCGAGCCGCGACATTTGAACTCATAAGTTTCATACTTATAGTTCCACTGCAACAACACTCAGGCAGAAACTCTGAGTCTAGGTTAGATTTTTTTTTTATAAGTAATTTTACTTTTTTAGTTATATAACTGTCTTGATAATTTTACTTTTTTAGTTATATTACTGTCTTGATATTATAAGATAAAGAAAAAAATTCAAATTACACGTCACAACGATTTAAAGTTTGTTAACAAGGTCAGAAATTTGAACTCTTCAAAATTTACTTCCATAAGTATTTATATATCATCAATTGAAACTAGTGACTAAACTTATATAATTATAAATATGCACTTCAAATTTTTATTGATGTTGTAAAACTTACCACATTATATTATGTGTATATGGCTAAGGTTGGGTTGTTATGGTGAGCTCCAAATAAAGAAATGTGGCTATTGAGATTGGTTGATTGTGCCAACTTCCATTTAGTGTAATGACGTCCCAGTTACCCGCGGTGGGGCCTTAGACTTTTTGTTTGAAAATGTTTGAGAAAGTATAGAACATATACTACCTTGTAAATCATCATGGGCATTTAAAAAAAATAATAATAATGTTCCATTTTAGTTCTGACATTAATTAAATACATGTGATCTTAGGGCCGCAATAAGGTTTCATTATTTCTTTTTAAAAAATAATATATTTTTTAATGTTTGCTGGAGTAGCTCAGTTGGTTAGAGCGTGTGGCTGTTAATTACGAGGTTGAAGGTTTAAGTCCTTCGTATAGCGACTAGCGACATTTGAATTCACAAGTCTCATACTACTAGTTCCGCTGCAACACACAGGCAGAAACTTGAAGTCAAGCTTGTGAAGTTTTTTTTTGTAGATAATTTTACTTTTTTAGTTATATAACTGTCTTGATATTATAAGAGAAAAAAAATTCAAATTACACGTCACAACGATT